TATTATTATTATTATTATTATGATTATTATTATTATTATTATTATTATATACACACACCTAATTAGAATTTAACATTTTGTAGTAATGCTCAGCTGATCAGAAAGTTTCATCGAAGACCAAAACGAAGAGAGCTCCCATTCTAATTTCAAAACATCAAACTTGGTCGGCCCATTCCATTCTCCTGTTGCCACCCCACATCACCCTATTCCAACGCGCCGCGCCCCAACCCCACCTCTGCTTGTCCCCTAAGCTTGCTCGCAATCATTTTGCACCACCAATAAAACCAGCCACCACTGCGTTCGTCGGAGCTCCTTCCATCCTCTTCCCATCTTCCCTGCTAACCCTAGCTATCAGATCCATGTCGGCCTCTGCTACTCCCCCGAAGTTCATCGGCCGCTCCGGCGTCCGCATCGTCGTAGTCGGCGATCAGGGTACCGGCAAGTCAAGCCTCATCATCGCCGTTGCCACTGAGTCATTCCCGGAAAGCGCTCCCAACGTGTTACCCCCTACCCGTCTCCCTGCTGATTACTACCCCGATCGCGTCCCCCTCACCATCATCGATACTTCTTCCAGGTAGGTGTCTCGGAACCCTAGTTTTCAGATTTTGTATCATTTATTTTGATGATTTTGGTTTCTTTTTATGTTTTTTTTTTTCAGCCCAGCAAGCAAGGCGACTCTTGTAGCGGAATGCCAGGCTGCCGATGTGATTGTGCTTACGTACGCTTGTGATAGGCCGGCGTCGCTTGATCGTTTGAGTTCGTACTGGCTTCCGGAGCTTCGACGCTTGGAGGTTCGGTTATTGCATGAATCAAATGTTCTGTTTTTTTTTTTTTTTTTTTTTTTTTTTTTAGATGTGATTGTTCTAATATTTTGTGCTTGATGTTTAGGTGAAAGTGCCTGTGATTGTGGTAGGATGTAAGTTGGATTTGCGGGATGAGCAACAGTCAAGCCTTGATCAAGTAATGTCGCCAATCATGCAGCAGTTTCGGGAGATAGAGACCTGTATAGAGTGTTCTTCTCTCAGGCAGATTCAGGTATAAATGCTTAGCTACGCTTATTGCTATTTCTTCGTTGATTGTTTGTTAGCAGCTAGGCCATTATGGACGGATCTTCTATCTGTTTCTGTCAACTTGTTTGATGATGATTTTGTTTTGCAGTATGCTAATTTAAAAGACCGAGGATCTCTAGGATATGTTTCGTGGATGTTATTTATGTTGATTCATTGCTTTTTTTGAAGTTGTGAAATCATTACAGACAGATCCGGTTGTTCTGCTAATATCACCATGTTTGGCACTGTTCTATGTTTTGCATGCTTCCAATGTCAATGGCCGAGGATTTTTAGGTTGTTGACGTATTCCATTAGCAGACTTCATTGTTTTTTGTCTGCCTCACTAAAAGGGAACATGATATGCTCAGTGTAGATGTTATCATCTGTTATTTTATTTTGGTATCGTGCAAGCTTATTAAATGAGTAGTGCCAAAATGGCACCATGTAGTCCCCGGCTATTTACATGGTGTCATTTTAGTCCCAGAGTTTATAGAAGTGCCGAAATAGTCCCACTATTTTAAAAATGAGCTCTAATAGTCCTCCATGGAGATTGTTTTATCCCCAATTTAAAGAATCTTGGAGCTATTTTGGCACTTCTATGAACTCTGGGACTAAAACGGCCTCATGTAAATAGTCGGGGACTATTTTGGCACTTCACTTCTTATTAAATATATTCATTTTGGCGAAAAGAAGGATGTCTTTGTGTGATATTGCTGCAGCTTGCTTTTTTCATGTGAGTATCAGTATCTCAGTGTGTAAGCATGTTTTCTTACTTCATCTTCCCTAAATGGCCCATTTTGTTTTTGCTGCTTTTGCTTTTAAGGTCTTCTTCAATATCCTTATAAGTCTGGCCTTAAATATGCTTTCATCTAGGTTCCCGAGGTCTTCTATTATGCTCAGAAAGCAGTGTTGCATCCTACTTCCCCACTTTTTGACCAAGAAACACAATCTTTGAAGTCTAGATGTGTGAGGGCTTTAAAGAGGATATTTATTTTATGCGACCATGACAGAGATGGTGCCCTGAGTGATGCCGAATTGAATGATTTTCAGGTTTTATTTTATTTGTTTTGTTATATATTGTCCCAATTTCAACTGTTTCATTAAATAAACAGGTTAATCTTGACACGATTCTACTTTTTTTTTCAGGTTAGATGTTTTAATGCTCCTCTCCAACCTTCTGAAATTGCGGGTGTCCAAAAGGTTGTACAGGAGAAAATGCCTGAAGGTGTCAACGAGCATGGCCTTACCTTGACTGGGTTTCTTTTTCTTCATGCCCTTTTTATTGAAAAAGGCCGTCTTGAAACAACTTGGACAGTTTTGAGAAAATTTGGATATGATGATGATCTTAAACTTAGGGACGATCTTCTTCCACCAATATTTAAGCGAGCGGCCGATCAGGTTTTTTTACTTACATCTTTCTTGTAATTTAATTGTCTCCATGTGTCATACATAATTCAAATTAACATTTATTAAAAACTTCCTTGGTCATATTAAAAAAATATTTATTTAATTGTGTCCATGTTCCTTTTTTTTGATTAAACTTACCATTTTGCCTTAGTTATTATGAAGTGTTAAATTTGGCTGTCAATTGAAACCCAGTCATCATATTGTAACACTAACTTTTTTACTTTTCAATATGGTTTAACGTATTGTAATGGAAGTGCCAGGTTGAGTCTCAATACTGAAATGTAGGGATCATAGCATCGCCTCTACTCCATGGATGCTGATCATTAGATGTTTTTTCTGCTAAATTATTGTAAACCAAATAGTTTATGAAATGCATATGCTTTTTTATTGGGTGATTTTGTAAATTAGTGATCCTCTATTATCAATTTGTTCTTACGTGTAATTCTCTTAGAAAGATGTTGATGTAATTAGTTGCTCATAAGGGTAGAGCAGGAAGCAAACTAATTAGGGTTTGGACCTTAATGCACAAGAATATGACAATGCTCTAAAGCTCGAAATATCATTCTTTGTTTAAGAATAGGCACTGCACAAATTAGCGTGTGTGATCCGTAAGGAAAATTAATATGATTGAAATTTTTGAAGAAGAGTTAAGTGAATAATCTTCTTGAAACTATTTTTTTCTCCATAAAATTAATTTATTATCTGCAGATAATGCATATAAAAACAATTTTATTCTCTCCATCCATGTTTAAATAACATTCTGTTATTGTTTTTACACTCGTACTTTGTAATCTGACTGAAAATAACTATTATTTTCTTAATAAATAGAAAAACTTGAATATATCTTCCTAATTGCCTCCTTTAAATTTATCATGTAGCCAGACAAATTATAAATTATTATGTTAACTTTGAATCCTTCAAAATTTTAATATAAATTATACCTCTTCATTTAGTTCATTTTATGAGACTTGGTATTCGCTTTAATTATTTATGTTTTGATAGCCTGGGGATCAAGTAAGATGCTGCTATAACACAACGAAGAGCTGAATAATGGACTTGCTACGAAGTTTGATATAAACCACCTTACCTAATGCCATCAATGAGGGTTTGGATCTGCAAAATTTTAATATAAATTATACCTTTTCATTTATTTCATTTTATGAAACTTGGTATTCGCTTTAATCATTTATGTTTTGATAGCCTGGGGATCAAGTAAGATGCTGTTATAACACAACGAATAGCTGAATAATGGACATGCTACGAAGTTTGATATAAACCACCTTACCTAATGCCATCAATGAGGGTTTGGGATTGCCTTTATTTTGGTTGAGATTGTCCTTTATTTTGGTTGATTGCTGCGATACGTTTCTCTTCTGTCATTGATATGACAGCACTTAGCTGTTAACGCTTATTTTAAAACTGTTTTGGTATACTAAAATTTCACTCTGACGTTCTAGGATAATATCAACTGTTGTCACATATGAATGAGTCATTCCTTTATGTCTGCTTTTTTGTTTCAATGTTTTGTCATGCTGCATACACCCCTTTTAACCTTAGTTTGGCAAATGATCATTCCTTTCAGATAATTTTTTTTTGCATTTCATGAACTAATCATTTATCTTTCCTATTTTTTCAGAGTGTCGAGCTAGCCAATGAAGCTATAGAGTTCTTGAGAGGGATCTTCTTGATGTTTGACTCCGACAATGTATGGTCTTCTTTTTCCAAAATTTATATATTTGTCTGGCTACATGAAATAAATTTATGGTCTTCTTTTTCATAATTATTATACCTTTTCATTTATTTCATTTTATTCAAGTTATACAAGATGAGGTTCCGACAATGTATGGTCTTCTTTTTCATTTATTTCATCTATTCAAGTTAATATGTTAATTTATAATTTGACTTCTTGAGACTGGTGGGCTTGAGCCTTTGGCTTTGTTCTTGCAGAACCTCATCTTGTTCTCTTGGAGTCACCTCCTACAGTGCGCAGTTTGATTCTCTCCTCCTTGTAGGATGTTATTCTGTTCCCTAGGTATTATCAGTATAGTTTTAGACTCATCATTGTCATTGATTTTTGCATGGCTCATCTCTTTTTCATCAAAATCGTTCGTTCCAATGTTCCCCTTCTTTGCTTCTTTTTCCAAAGGAGGGTTATGAATCCAGACAACTATTGAAAAGATTTTATTTTTCTCCACTTTTGTAAGCTATTATCTTCTTTCATCTACCCTTCTAGATCATGGTTTCTTCTTTTTTCTTGCTAATGCTCATGCTCCATAAAAATTATAAAGGAACAGGAAAACATTTGACAAAGTCTTAAAGATACTATACTTTTGATATAATTTAAGCCCGAGGTATCATCCTACTACACGATAATATAACAAATTTTTTTGTTAATGAAAAAAGTTATTTTTATCTTCTGTCGTGATTACGTTCTTTTGTTATGTTTATTGTGTTTTTGCATATTGGCTTGTTTGTGTTCTGTTAAAAAAGTAACATGTTGTGAGCATTTAAGAAAAATTATACTTCCTCAGTAATTTTGTAGCATGTCTTTGCCTGATTATATTGATCAACCATTTGCAATTCCTAAAGAAACCAGGCCAATCAACTCTGATATTGAAGTGGTGAGTGTGGAAGATGATGCTACTGAATTCCAATTGCTAAAAATAAGGAGATGACATTTTTAGTTTGGAATGAATTTACAAAAGTCATTCTTTTTTATGGTCTGAGCAATGCATAAGTTAGATAATGCACCTTATATGTTGATCAATGAGAAACCTCTTCCAATATTGGAAGAGTTTGTTTTTAATTTAGTTTTAAATTTAATATCTTTATTCTTTAAAACCTATTTAGAAAAGTACCGCTAAGACTGAAAGGAAAATTTTATAAGACGGTGGTGAGACCTGCAATGCTCTATGGCGCTGAATGTTGGCCTTTAAAAGAGAAGCATAATAATAAGTTAAGTGTTGCTGAGATGAGATTAGGTGGATGAGTGGCTTTACACTTAGAGACAAAATGCAGAATGAATATATTCGTGATAGGGTTGGTGTAGCTCCCGAGACAGACAGAATTAGAGAAAGTCGTCTTAGATGGTTTGGTCACATTAAACGTCGACCATCTGATGATCCGATTAGGAGAGTAGATGTTTTAGATTCGACTTGTGTTAAGAAAGGCAGAGGTAGACCTAGGAAGACTTGGGCTTATTGTATTAAAAATGATCTTAATTTACTAGAACTAAATGAAAATATGACACTAAATAGGATGCAATGGAGAAAAAGGATTCATGTAGCTGACCCCACGTAGTGGGATTAAGGCTTTGTTGTTGTTGTATTCTTTAAAACCTATTTATGGGCTATTGCTAGGAAACATGAGTTTAAAACATTGCATGCATCAAATATAATCTTAGTTTTCAATCCCCTCATTTTTTATATCAATCTTAGGCTATGTTATGCCATTTGTTTATTACATTACAGTAAATTCTGAACTTATTTTTTGCTTGAATATAGTTTATTTCTGGCCACATTGCTTACAGATTATGTTCCACAGAACCCTTGCACACTTCTAACTGTTAATCTGGCATGTTGGGTTTAGGGAATATCGTAGTAGCAAAAACCATTAAATGATATTTCATTTCAGAAATTTTGGTTCATGTTTCAAATCTGTAAGTTTATTTCCGTCCGAGCTCAGGATTAATAACATTAATTTTAAGCTGTTTCCCGAAAGCTGCAAGCTTCTAGATTACAGCCTAGGTTTCATTTATATGCGATTATGCCATGAAGTTGGATTACTTTACTTGAATAAGGTCGACTAAAGACAAGGTTACTTCCAAAACTTGTGACCTATTTACTTCCAAAACTTGTGACCTATGCAAGCCTATATGTGAAATCTGGGAATATACTTTCATTTCTAATCTTATTGAACTTATTTTATTTATTTTCTTTGTATTTGCTCTTAATATGGTTGAATTCAAAGATTGTCAATGTGCCTGAGTGGATTATCACACTGAAAATGTTTTCTCCATTCAAATGAAAAACTAATTAGAGCATTTTTTTAAATTAATGATTATTTTCTGCGTCCCTTGTTTAACTACATCATATAAATATTCTGGCAGGATGGGGCTTTGCAACCTGGTGACATTGAAGATCTGTTTTCAACAGCCCCTGAGAGGTGATCCATTGTTGTTTTTTTTTCAAATGATTTTTGTGATCATTCCTTTTTTATTTATGAAACAATTTCATCTTTTCATCGTCCTTGTTTATGCACAAGTTATTTAGGTTTGGTTTCTGCCATAATAAAATTCGGCATAGGTTTTTGTGGTGGTTGTCAATCCAAACCAATCCTCCACCTCTCTTCTTTATTTGTACTAGCACAAACTTGTTTTTATTTTCTTAAATATTTTGTTGATTACATGTTTTCACATGATGATTTTCTTTTCAGTTACTTGGTGCTTGAGATGGTCATACTTGTCTTAGCTCTTTTATCTTCGTTATCGGCTGTGGCAACAGTTGCCGTCTTATGTCACTTACTTTATCTCTATCATTTTAATGGTCATAGGTTACAAAAAAAGAATGTTGCTGCAACTATTTAGGATTATTATAATAATGATCATCTCTAAATGTTTGTGCATGCTACATTGGTGGACAACCCTGGTACGTTACGAACAGCTGGAGGCTTAGGACGATGGGAGACATTTGATACATTTCCTTCAATTTTTTTTAATTTTTTATTCTATGTTTTTTTTTTTTAATCCATAGATCTCACAAACGATTGCAAAGCAGGAAAAGACTGTTTGTATGCATGCTACTAAATAGTCATCAAGTTCCCTCACCTGAAAGAAAAAAAAGGGAGAGTGGGGCTTTGTTCTTCTAATTTTTGTACTGTGATGGCACAGTGCGATAATGAAGTTACCAAATGTTCTTGGTACTGCATCTGTTTTTCTTATGAGATAAGCATAAGCCATTGAACTTTAGGAATTGATTATTTTGCTGGTGTAATAATTTTGGTTTATATATATATATATATATATATGGGCGTCTGCATCTACGTCGACGTTCACACTCCCTGTCGCGGCTCATGTCGCGATCTCTGTTGCTCGCGTCGTCCTCTTCCACGCCTCTGTCGCTCGCAGCTGTCGTCTGCGCTCGATTCTTCTGTTTCGGCGCTGCTCCTGCTTCTGCGCCTGACAGCTCCTTTGCCTTTCAACAACCTCGCAATAGTTTACCGCCGACAGCCTCTGATGGCGTTTTCTTCTTCTTTGGTTGAGTCGGACAAAGTCTCCTTTGCCCGCGTGGTGGAGGCTATAGTGGTATTCTCCTCAAGTTATAAGGAATGTCGTGAGGGTACATATGATTGTCCTTTTATTAAAAAGGGAAGTAGGAAAGGAGGAAAATAAACAATATTTTTCTCTGAAACATAAATTTCTACCATGACTGAAAAATTCAAGTTTGCTCTTATTGGCAAATTTTAATGGGAACACCTCCTATGAATGTTATCAGAAATAGTGTTGATGATCTTAAGCTAGTAGACAAGTAGAAAGTGAGACTCATGGATGAGAGACATGTGTTGATCCAACTAACAGTGACTGAAAACTGCACCAAAATTTTCTCGAAGAAATATCTTAATATCGAAAACAAATCAATGAAGTTACTCAATTGGACTCTTAATTTTGACTCAAAGCATGAAACTCTCACTATACCGGTATGGTTTAGTTCACATGGTCTCAAGCTGCATTTTTTTCACCATCAAATTCTCTACTCTATTGGGGTCATCCTTGGGGATTTTTTGAAACTAGATTTGCCTACTTTTAACCTAACTAGACCCTTGGTAGCCTGAATACTTGTGGAAAGAGATATTAACTGAAGTTTTGATAGACACAACTCATAATGGTTATTGGCAACAAATCGTTATGGAACACAAACCCTCATATTGTACCCACTTTAAGATGTTTGGTCTTATCCTTGCTACATGACACAAGCTTCATCCTATTTTGAAATTTAAGGTTCAATGACAGCTCCTTTGCCTTTCAACAACCTCGCAATAGTTTACCGCTGACAACCTCTGATGGCGTTTTCTTCTTCTTTGGTTGAGTCGGACAAAGTCTCCTTTGCCCGCGTGGTGGAGGCCATAATGGTATTATAGTGGTATTCTCCTCAAGTTATAAGGAATGTCGTGAGGGTACATATGATTGTCCTTTTATTAAAAAGGGAAGTAGGAAAGGAGGAAAATAAACAATATTTTTCTCTGAAACATAAATTTCTACCATGACTGAAAAATTCAAGTTTGCTCTTATTGGCAAATTTTAATGGGAACACCTCCTATGAATGTTATCAGAAATAGTGTTGATGATCTTAAGCTAGTAGACAAGTAGAAAGTGAGACTCATGGATGAGAGACATGTGTTGATCCAACTAACAGTGACTGAAAACTGCACCAAAATTTTCTCGAAGAAATATCTTAATATCGAAAACAAATCAATGAAGTTACTCAATTGGACTCTTAATTTTGACTCAAAGCATGAAACTCTCACTATACCGGTATGGTTTAGTTCACATGGTCTCAAGCTGCATTTTTTTCACCATCAAATTCTCTACTCTGTAGGGGTCATCCTTGGGGATTCTTTGAAACTAGATTTGCCTATTTTTAACCTAACCAGACCCTTGGTAGCCTGAATACTTGTGGAAAAAGATATTAATTGAAATTTTGATAGACACAACTCATAATGGTTATTGGCAACAAATCGTTATGGAACACAAACCCCCATATTGTACCCACTTTAAGATGTTTGGTCATATCCTTGCTACATGCCACAAGCTTCATCCTATTTTGAAAATTAAGGTTCAAGTGAATAAGGAGGGGTCTAACTCCACTGCTGTGAACATTTTAGTTCCACCTGAGGAGGATACTACCAGACAAGAGGTGTCTGCTGCCCCTGAGGACCCCCTTATGACACTGTTGTTACTGTTACTGCTACTGCGAGTGATGCGTTGCTGACACCTACAAACTCCATAAAAAAACAATACTGATGAACCTAAATGATAGTGTTCAGACTGATAATCAGGAGAGCCTCGCAGCTCCACTTCTTCAAGAAGTATCCGGTGTAGAGGCAACTCATGCCTCACATATTCTAGAACTTATTGTGGGTACTACTGTTGGTATTCCTTCTACTTCAGTATCAGGTTGATTCTTTGGAGGAGGAATGACATGTTTACACTTCCAGGAGGAAGAAGAAGAATGGAGATTGTATGGATGATACTTTGGTTACTACGGGTATTTGTCATTTATGGATGATACTTGGGTTACTACGGGTATTTGTCAACACCTTACCAATCTGCTAGCTGGATCCCTACCGAGAACTAGAGTCAGAGGCAATACTAGATTGGAGCTCAGGAGTTTTATAGATGATACTTTGGTTACTACGGGTAATGGTTAACACCTTACCAATCTGCTAGTTGGATCTCTACCGAGAAATAGAGCCAGAGGCAAGATTAGATTGGGATGACCCACAGTTTTTCAGAGCCCGGGTGATTTTTGGTTTTTTTTTTTAATTTCTATATGTACCCATCTTTTACATTTTTTGTTGTGTGTTGTACCGTGTGGGTTGGGTGTTTAGGCCCACCCAGACAAACCTATATGTATATTTTTCTTTAATATATCAACCCTTGGTTTTTAAATATATATATATATATATATAGATATTAATAATAATAATTTTTTAAGGTTCTTTTTTTCTAGATAAATATGGTGAATTTAGGAGCTTTGTTTAAGGAGCGACGATTGAGTGACAACAAGAATTTCTTATACATTCTATTGAAACAGGGGTAATCTAGCGCTTATCCATTTGAAAAAGTACCACGCAATGGAAAATAAGAATTTTTGATGTTTTAATAGGAAGTGCCCAATGCAGTACATATGAGGTCCAACAAATAGTATGTGTAGGCACAAATATTCTGTATTGTTCAGCATGCACTATTATTTTGTCGATTATGATCTCTTTGTTTGCAAATAGGAGGGTGGGGAATGGTGCTTCCTTTATTTCATCTTGAGAGTGTAGTACGGGAGTTAGCGAAGAGGGTAGAAAAAATGCCATAATAAGATTTTAAACATGATGATGCGAATTTCCGAGCCTAGAATTGCTCAAAGATTCAAAAGTAGTTATTTTTGGGTTTACATTATTATTATTATTTTTTTGGGTGATAAGTAACACACATGTACATACATATATAAATACATACATGCATATATATTCTCATTTTGAAGGTTTGACTCAAATTTATATGTTCTTAAATCTTAGAAGATTTACTCATATTCAAACTTTGTTGAAGGAATTGGTATTCTGTTTGTAAAAGTAGAACACATCTACATATGTTCCAAATGTAGAGCATAATAAGCAAATAAACGCACATTATAAATTTACATTATGACAAGAACCTACTTATATTTTAACATGTACTATTATTTAGTTCATTCAGGATTCAGGCTGCACTATTGTTTATGCTTTATTATCTTGATTTTAGGACCATGTTGGGAAGTCATTTGTAAGTTTTAGCTTGCTGCGCTGGATTTTATTCTTTCTTCTCTCTTGTATGTGGACATCAGGACCTCTTTAATGAATCAAAGTCCACCTTCAAGAATTTGAGTCCTTGATTTCTAGGCATTAAGTTGAATATGACCCAGAAAATCATATTGAACGAATTTGAAGTGTATATTCTTTATTTTTTGCTTTATTTTTGTTTATATATATTTTCTACTTATTTCTTCTTTGTTTTGAAATATGGTTTGGTGATCACCAATGAAACCACTCAGAGATTCAAATTCTACCATCAATTTTGTGGAATATGATCATTGGAATTATTGCTTGAAATAAAATTTGTTTATGAAATTGCGTATATCTTAGATCAATCAAAATAACAAAGGGGACTTAAGATGTTTAAAAACTATAGAAGAAAAATATTAAAAAATTGGATGCCCCTTTGCTTAAGTGAGTGAATTGCAAGATTTCAACAAGTCAAAATGGAAGTGGGGAATCACTAGTTTTGTAACTTGACACAATCTCTTATCTATAGGCACTGGTGGAGGTCCACACTTAAGTTTTGACCATGCAAGAAATCACAATGTATTTTAGTTTTAGCTATGAAGAAATCACAATTCGTTGAATCTCTATGTATCTAT